CTACTGGAAGAGTTTCACGACGTACCATACGCGGGACATTTCGGGAGCAACAAGACGTTAGCAGGGATAGCAAAGTATTACTACTGGCTCCGGATGGCAGCAGACGTGCAACAGTTCGTCACCTCATGCGACACATGCCAGCGGATGAAGAGTAGCAAGCAGAAAAAAGCAGGGTTACTTCAGCCTCTACCCGTACCGGAGCAGCCATGGCAAGTCGTTAGCCTCGACTTCATCACGGGACTTCCTTCGACCTCACGAGGGCATGATGCTATACTCGTGGTGATCGACAAGTTCTCTAAAATGGGTCACTTCATTCCAACCAACGCCATGGCTACAGCTGAAGCAACTGCTCGCCTCTCCTTCGACCGCATCATCACCATCCACGGCATCCCCGCTACACTCGTCTCAGACAGAGACCCAAAATTCACCAGTAAGTTCTGGAAGGAGCTCATGGGACTGTTGGGGACAAAGCTTGCAATGTCTTCAGCATACCACCCCCAGACTGACGGACAGACAGAGCGACTCAATCAGGTGGTTGAACAGTTACTGCGCACAGCTTGCAAGGACGACGTCAGCCACTGGGACACACAGTTACCGACCCTAGAGTTCGCTTACAACAACGCGTCACATGCGGCCACAGGGAAAACTCCTTTCCTCCTGTGTTACGGACGGGAACCACTTACACCACAGCAGCCAATCACACTGGTACACGTCCAAGCTGCACATGACTTTGTCACCACCATGCAGCAGCTATGGGAGAAGACTCAGCGACGACTCACCACGATGCAGACCTCCCAGAAGCAGTATGCCGATCGTCAGCGACGAGATCACTCAGTAGCAGTCGGAGATCAGGTGCTTCTTGACACGCGCAACTTGAACCTGTCTCACCTCCCATCCAAACTCCGGCCTCGCTTCTGTGGTCCTTTTCTCGTTCAGGCACAGGTGACACCAGTTACATTCCACTTGCGCTTACCAGATACGTGGAAGCTTCACAACGCTTTCCATGTCCAGCTACTGAAAGCTGTGAAGATTGTGAATTGAACAAGTTACTTCATTAGGGGAGAAACCTACCATACATAGTTGGAAGAGAAGGTTGGAAGAGAAGGGTGAAGGTGACCAAAGGTTGGGTTGGCCTCACTTGGGGGAGTGAGGCCACCATAGGTCAAGTGGGTTGGGTTGCCCACACTTTGTAGAAGTGAGGCAACCCTAGGCCCACTTGGCTTGAGGTGACCTCACTTGTGGAAGTGAGGCACCCATAAGTCAAGTGGGTTGCATTTGGGGGCTCCACCACAATTGGGTGGATTGGCACCCCAAAGTGCAAGACTACACCCAAAGTTGGGTGTAGTCCCAACCCAACTGTACACCACAATTGGTGTACAGTCACATGTGTTGGCATGCTACACAATATATATTTTAACACAACCCCTTAGCATGCTAACACGAGAAGAGAACAACCCCTGAATCAAGGGGCGCCCGGGCGAGCGATGTCAGAATATGTTGTTTGTGTAGCCTGCAGTGGGGTACTCAATAGTGAGTACAGCCCCTTAGGGTTTGCTATTTGTATCCTGCTGCTTGCTAGTTCAATCATTCCTTCTCAATTCTGTTCTTGCACACAATCCTAGCTCGTACTTGGCGCCTCCTTTCGTAGTCCTACTGTGGCCTAGGCTACTAAGCCTAGGCCGTACTCCTAGTATGTTTGACATGGTATCAGAGGGCGGCGTGTCTCTGCCGCCTTCCTGTGTATGGGCCCACCACCCGCTTTTGCTGCCGTACTGTCCGCCGCGCGCCCCGTGGTGCGCGGCGCCGAAATTAGGGTTTCTGCCCGCCGCGCGCTCGGGGCGCGTGGCGGCTTACCCCTCCGTGGCGCCCGTCGTTTCTACTGCTACCGGGGGCCCGCGCGGCCCCTCCCGTCGCCTGTCGTGGCGACCACGGGGGCTCGCGCGCGGTCCCCTCCCGTCGTCCGTCGTGGCGACCTCGGGGGCCCGCGCGGCCTCCCCTCCCGTCGTCCGTCGTGGCGACCACGGGGGCCCGCGCGGCCTCCCCTCCCGTCGTCCGTCGTGGCGACAACGGGGGCCCGCGCGGCCTCCCCTCCCGTCGTCCGTCGTGGCGACCAAGGGGGCCCGCGCGCGGTCCCCTCTCGTCGCCCGTCGTGGCGACCACGGGGGCCGCGCGGCCTCCCCTTCCCGTCGCCCGTCGTGGCGATCCGGGGGGGCCCGCGCGGCGCCCTTCCCGTCGCCCGTCGCGGCGGCCCTGGGGGGCCGCGCGGCTCCCTTTCTCGTCGCCCGTCGGGGCGCCCTGGGGGCCGCGCTCTTCCCCCCCCCCTTTTCCTCCTACCTTTCACCTGCTGTGGCCGCCCCTGGAGCCGCCCGCTACTGCAGCAGCCGCCCCTGGAGCAGCCCGCACCTGCAGCAGCCGCCCCTGGAGCAGCCCGTGCCTGCAGCAGCCGCCCCAGGACCCGCGCCAGCTGCCCCTGCAGCAGCCCGCGGCCCGTCCCGTCCCCCCCTCCCCCCCCCCCCCCTCCCCCCCCCCCCCCACCCGTGCTGCCCATTGCTCCCATCCCGCCATACGTTCCACGGTGGTGGGGGTGTGGGGTGGCGAGCATGGGGGTGAGAGGTGTGGGTTCTCCCCTCCTCCTTTTTCGTCTCCCACTGCTGCAGCTGCCGCTGAGGGGGGTGGAGGTGTGGGAGTCGTGGGGAGGGGCACTAAGGGGTTGATGTGGGAGTGGAACTAGGGGTGAAGCAGGGGGTGTGTGACAGGGGTGTGGGGCGGTTGGGGGAGGTTGATCGGAGGTCGCCGTCGTGTCGCCAGCACCGCCAACAGTCCGGAGCCCTTGCTCTCGGTAGCCCAGCGAGCCTGCTGCGCCAGTCGCCCGTGGGTCCGTTACTCCTGCCGCTCGTCGTAGCCGCGGAGTCTGTTACTCCAGTAGTCCGGGGCCCTTGCTCCGGTAGCCACTGTGCCAGCCGCTTCTGTTGCCCGTGTGTCTGCAGCTTCAGCCGTCGCCTCCAATCTACACTCCCCTCACTGTCACTCCTCCTCCTCACTGGCCTCCTGTGACTGCCTCTAGCTTTGCTCATAATTGTGAACTTCTGCTATGCCTGCTCATTGTGCTGATTTCACCCCCCTTTGGCTATGGGGGTGTGTCAGAATATGTTGTTTGTGTAGCCTGCAGTGGGGTACTCAATAGTGAGTACAGCCCCTTAGGGTTTGCTATTTGTATCCTGCTGCTTGCTAGTTCAATCATTCCTTCTCAATTCTGTTCCTGCACACAATCCTAGCTCGTACTTGGCGCCTCCTTTCGTAGTCCTACTGTGGCCTAGGCTACTAAGCCTAGGCCGTACTCCTAGTATGTTTGACAAGCGAGGCCAATGAGGCGGAGGAAGGCAGAGTGCGCAGGGCGAAGGAGGGCCTTAGTGAAGATGTCGGCCAAGTTGGCCTCGGTCGCAATCTTGCGAACTGCAATAAGGCCATTCTGGACGAGCTCGCGAACGAAAAAGTAGCGGAGCTCGATGTGCTTAGAGCGGGCGTGATAGACGGGGTCCTGAGTGAGATGGATAGTGCTGGCATTGTCGCACCAGAGAGTGGGGCACGTCTGGGGGGCGCCAAGCTCTGCAAGAAGGAAGCAGAGCCAGCGTGACTCCTGGGCGGCCATGGTGCCAGCGTAGAGCTCGACCTCGCAGGTGGAGAGAGAGATGGCGGAGGAGCGGGTGGAGCGCCAGCTGATGAGGCCGCTGCCAAGGGTGAAGCCGTAGCCCTGGGAGGAGCGGCGGTCCGGCTGCGTGTCAGCCCAAGAGGAGTCACTGAAGCCTGAGAGAAGAGGAGGGGAAGGGCCACCAAGGGTGAGGGCAAGGTCCTTGGTCCCGCGAAGGTAGCGGAGAACCCGCTTGGCAGCTTTCCAGTGCTCCTCTGTGTGACGACCGGTGCCGACAAAGCGAGCGAGCACGCTGATGGGGTAGGCGAGGTCGGGGCGGGTGCACATCATCGCGTACATCAGGGACCCGACGAGCTCTGCGTAGGGGTGGGGGGAGGAGGTGGGCGAGGTAGGTGGAGCGAGTTGGTGGCCGAAAGGGAGGGGAGTGGAGACAGGCTTTGCCTGCGCCATGTCGAACTTCTCCAAGACCTGGCCGATGTAGTGGGACTGTGAGAGGGTGATGGTGCAAGCAGAGCGGTTGCGCGTGATGGCCATGCCCAGGTAGTGAGTGAGGGCGCCAAGGTCTTTGCACTTGAGACGCTGCTGCAGGGACAGCTTCATCTGCTCCATGTCGGCCCTGGTGTCAGAGAGTAGGATCATGTCGTCCACATATACCAGAATGAAGAAGCGGCGGGGGGAGGAGCGGATGAAGAGGCTGGCGTCGGAGTGGGAAGCAGAGAAGCCGAGAGACCCTAAGGTGGCAGCCAGCTTCGCATGCCACTCACGCGGTGCCTGCTTCAAGCCGTAGACAGGGCGACGCAGCTGCCAGACAGTGTTATCAGGGAAGGCTGCGTGGAACCCGGGGGGTCGCCAGAGGAAAATGCGCTCGTGCAGGTCGCCCTGCAGGAACGCGTTGGAGACATCCATGGAATCGATCTCCATGTTGTCACGTGCGCCAATGTCGAGGGCGGCGCGAAGGGTGGGTGGTTTGGCGGTGGGGGCGTAGGTGAACCAGTAGTCCTCCGCCCAAGTCTGCGTGAACCCCTTGGCGCAGTAGCGTGCCTTGTACACCGGGTCCTCGCCCGGCAGCTGCTTCACCCGAAAGACCCATTTGCCGTCAACGAGGTTGGCGCCGGCTGGGAGGGGGACGTCGATAAAGGAGTCGTTGCGAATGAAAGCCTCACACTCCAGGAAGATCGCCGCTATCCATTTATCCGCGCCGGGGCAGGTGATGGCTTCCTGGAAGGTGGAGGGAGTGAAGATGGTGGGGGTGGTGGTGGCGCCAAGGACGGGAAAACCCAGGAAGTCAAGGTAGAGGGAGGCAAGGAACGGAGTGTGCGCCCGAATGTTGAGAAACTCCTCATGGGAGTCCTCAAGGAGCTGAATGGAGGCAGGAGGAGGAGCCCCAAGGATTCTGTCCACAGAGCGGGTATGGATGTAAGGGAGGAGGAAAGGGGAGGAGCAGGAAGTGGCACGGCGCTGCTGCTGCTGCCGGTGCTGCTGAAGCTGCTGCCCCTGTTGCTGCGGCTGCTGCGGACCGTGCTGCTGCTGTGTCTGCTGCGGCTGTTGCTGCTGCTGCTGTCCCGGTTGCTGCTGCTGCTGCTGCTGCCCCGGTTGCTGCCGCTGCTGCTGCTGCTGCTGTTGCTGCTGCTGCTGCTGCTGCTGCTGCTGCTGCTGCTGCTGCTGCTGCTGCTGCTGCTGCTGCTGCTGCTGCTGCCCCGGCTGCTGCTGCTGCTGTTGCTGCTGCTGATCCGGCTGCTGGAAGGAGGGAGAGTGAGAGGAGGAGGGAGAGGGGGGGGGGGGTGCAGCCGAGTGAGCGGGGGAGGCGGGTGCGGCAGGGTCGTAGACGTCGGCGGAGGAGGAGGGCGGGAGCGGGGCGGCGACGGGTGGGAGAAGGGGGGCTGGAGGAAGAAGGGGCGGGAGGACGGTGTCGGTCCAAGCGAGGGGGCGAGTGGGAGGGGGGAGAGGGTCTGGAGGAGGAGTGGAGTAGTAGGGAGTGGATTCGTCGAAGACGGCGTCAATGCTGCGGATGAGGCGATTGGTGGGAGGGTGGAGGAATAGGTAGCCTGGGGAATCGCGATTGTGCCCCAGGTAGACGCACTCCAGAGCGCGAGGGGCGAGCTTGCCAGCAGCGCGGGAGCGAGTGGCCGGTGGAATGAGGACGGACGCCTTGCAGCCCCAAACACGAAGGCCCGCGGCGTCAGGCTTGGCCTTGGACCAGAGTTCTGTGGGGGAGGAGGAGGGATGCTGAGGGTGGGAGCGGAGATTGAGGAGGAGGGCGGCATGGAGGAGGGCATAGCTCCAGAGGGAGGGAGGGAGGGGTGGAGGCGTGAGCAATGAGACAGCGAGCGATCTTGGTGATCTCGCGAATGCGACTCTCAGCAATGCCATTTTGCTGAGGGGAGTGGGGGAGGGTGGAGGTTTGCTGAATGCCGTATGTTTTGCAGTAGGTGGAGAGCGTGTGATTAATTAACTCACCCCCACCATCAGAGTGAAGGCGGCCAATGGGGCGTTTGAAGTGAGTGCGGCACAGCTCAGCCCAGTCGATGACCACGGCCGGCACCTGGTCTTTCGTGTGAAGAAAGAAGGTGGTGGAGTACCGGCTGTGGTCGTCAACGAGGACGAGCATGTACCTGTGCCCCTGTCGGGAGCGGATGGGATAGGGGCCCCAGAGATCCATGTGAACAAGGTCAATGGGTGCGGCTGCGAAGGTGGGATGACTGTGATGGGGTGACTGTTTGAGTTTGCCATGGATGCAGGAGGGGCAGGGGGGAGAAGGGGAGGAGGGGAGGGGAGGTAAGGTGGGAGGAAGGCTGTTGAGGAGGCGAGAGGCGACGGTGGTGCGAAGTGCGGCGAAGTTGGGATGACCGAGACGGTGATGCAGGAGAACGGCAGGGTGGGAGAGGACAGTAGAGGAGGAGGGAGATGGAGTGAGGGAGGTGGCGGGGGAGGGAGAGGGGGAAGGTGGAGTGGGGGGGAAGGGTAACTGAGGAGGAGGGGTATGAGGAGGAAGAGGGGGAGGCGGACCGGTGGAAGTGCCAGCACGCGTGGTGACATGGCAAAAGGATGGGCGAGGTGTGCGGAGCATATAAAGGCGAGTGTGAGGGCAGAGGGGAATGCGGAGGAGGAAGCGACCGGAGGCAGTGTGGTAGAGATCACAGTAGGTAGCGAAGCCCGGGTAAAGAGCGGTAATCCCAACACCCTGGGGCTCACGGTGGGAGAGGAGGTTGTTGCGGAGGGTAGGGATGTGGAGACCTGTGACTTTTCCAGAGGGGAAGGCGGAGCAAGGGAGAGTGGAGAGGTGAGTGCAAGGTATGGAAAAACTGGAGTCAGCGCCATGGACTTGAGTGGGAAGTGGGAGGGGGGTGAGGGTGCCAGCGTCCTTAAGTGCAGTTTCGGTGGCCCCACTATCAAGGACAAAGTCCAAGGTGGGGGAGGAGGGGGAGGGAGGTGACACGGGGTACTGGAAAGAAGTTTCATTGATAGCAGAGGGATACATGGAAGCGACGGAAGGTGCGGAAGCAATATGCCCAAGGAAGCTGCCCTGAGAGTCAGGGACACTGGGGGGGGCAGAGGGGAGGGAGCCCTAGGGGGGGGGAGCGAGGGCGGTATGCGCTGCCATGGCCGCGGTGCCGAAGGTCATCGGCTGCTGCTGCCACTGCGGCGGAAGGTGCTGCTGCGGCTGCAGCTGCTGGAAGAACTGCTGCTGCGGCTGGTGCTGCTGAAACTGCTGCAGTTGGGAAGGGGGTGAAGGGGTGAGTTGGCGGAGGTGAGCGGGGAGGAAGGAAGGGAGGGTTTGGATTTCAGCAAGGGAAGGACGAGGGGTGACACTGTTCCAGCGAGGGGGGGTGCCAGTGTTGCCACGATCGAACCAGGCGTCATCAAGCGCCTTGAAGCATGTGGCAGGGGGGTGGTTGGTTTGACCACAGGGAGTGCCGGCGTGGGGGCCATGACGGCGGACATAGGTGCACGGCGGAAGAGTGCCCGGGCGACCTCCACGGCTCACAGTACCACCAGCCCCAGCAGGACCTCCAGGAGTGGCACTACTACCTCCACCACCACGGCCACCTCGACCACCACCACCACCGCCCCGACCGCCACCGCCACCGCCTCCCCCCCCACGACCTCCACCGCCGCTGTTGCGACCACCCTGGTTGCGCGGCTGCGTGGTATTGAGGGAGGTGGAGGAGGAGGACTGTGGGGTGGTGAGGTTGACAATGGGGGTGCGGAGCTTGACCTCTGTGTCAATGATCCACTGGACCACGTCGTTGAGGCCAGCCATGGAGTTTGCCTCAGTGAAGGCATGGAGGTGGGACTCGTAGTCCGGAGTGAGGTTGTAGAGGAGGCGATGGATTTGGAGTGGTTCGGGGAGGGCAGCTTGGCGTGCCGCAAGGCGATCAGCGACCTCCTGCATGCGCCCCACATAGTCAACTGCGCCGTCACACGTAGCGAGGGTGATGGAGAAGTACTCCTGGAAAAGGACGCCGACCGAGCTGATGTCGCGACGCTCAAACATCGCCTGGAGCTCGGCCCAAATGAGGGAGGCGCGCATCTCGCGAGCTTGAAAACGGCGCATGAGAGCGTCGGGGAGTGCGCCGAGGAGGATGGTGCAGGCGCGGTTGTCAGCGGTGGCCCATGCGATGCTCTTGTGGAGGTAGTCTGCCATGGACGTGTTATACTCATCAAGTAACGCCAGGCGAGTGGCACGTTCCGCTGTTGCAAAGTCGTGATGATGCACCGCAACTTCATGCTCTGCCTTGCGGAATGAGGTACTCGCGGCGTTCGTGGAGGAAGGTGGCATCAGCGGCCTCCTGGAGCTCTGGAGAAGCGGCGATCACCAAGGTAGGTTCAGGAGGAGGAGGGCCAGGGGGAATGGAGGGAGGAGGAGGTTCACCGGGGTGAATGGGTGCCATGGGCTGAAGAGCGTGCGGGCGGCGGAGGAGGACGTCGAGGACGCAGTAGGGTCCGACGAAGGCGTCCTGGAGGATACGGCGGATGCTCCCGACGAAGGAGTGCCAATTGACAGCCGAGCGGTCCGCGGCAAGCTGGAGTTTGTCGACGGAAGAGGCGTCGATGGGAGGAGGGAGGGGGGCAGGAGGATTGGTAGCCATGAGGGGCGACGGCGGGTGGACCCGCGGCAGCCACGAGGGGGGACGGCGGCGGGTGGACCCGCGGCGGTCAGGGGAGAGGGCGACGGCGGGTGGACCCGCGGCGGCCGAGGGGGAGGGGGGAGGGCGGGAGGTGCTGCAGCTGAGGCAGGTACACTCCTCCGGCTGCTGCTGCTGCTGCTGCCACTGCCGCTGCCGCTGCCGCTGCTGCCGGTGCTGCTGCTGCCGCCGCTGCTGCCGATGCTACCGCTGCTGCCGGTGCTGCCGCCTGCCACTGCTGCCGCTGCTGCCGCTGCTGCCGCTGCTGCCGATGCTGCCACTGCTGCCGCTGCTGCCGATGCTGCCGATGCTGCCACTGTTGCCGCTGCCGCCGCTGCTGCTGATGCCGCCGCTGCTGCCGATGCCGCCGCTGCTGCCGATGCTGCCGCTGCTGTTGTCGTTGCTGATGGTGCGCCTGCTGAGCTGTCCCGGCTGCTGCTGCGTGGGGAGAGGAGAGAGAGGAGGAGGAAAGGGGGAGGGAGGGGAGAGGAAAGCAGTTGCAGCTGTGGGTGGGGCTGTTGCTGCCACGGTCGCGACTGCTGCTGTAGAAGCGGCGGTCGCGGCGGCAAAGTCCGCAGGGGGCGGTGTGGGCAGGCGGGGACAAGGAGGCTCCGCGGCGGGAAGCGCGGGCGACGACGGTGTGGTCGCGGCGGCGGAGATGCGGGCGGCTGGCGGTGCAGTCGTGGCGGCGGAAATTGCGGGAGCGGCGGCGGGGGGAGGCGACGATGCGAAATCGCGGCGATGGGACGGGCAGGGGGCGACGAGCAGGTCGCGGCGGCGAGATGCGGAGGCGCGACTTGAGGTCGCGGCGGCGTGACGTGCAGGCGGCGGCTTTAGGTCGCGGGGGAGGGGCGTGCAGGTGGCGACGTGAAGTCGCGGCGGAGGGGCGTGCAGGCGGCGACGCTAGGTCGCGGCGCGGGACGTGCAGGCGGCGACAGAAGGTCGCGGCGGCGGGGGCGTGCAGGCGGCGACGCGAAGTCGCGGCTGCGGGGTGTGCAGGCGGCGACGCGAAGTCACGGCGGCGGGGGGGTGCAGGCGGCGACGCGAAGTCGCGGCTGCGGGGCGTGCAGGCGGCGACGCGAAGTCGCGGCGGCCGGACAGGCAGGCGGCGACGAAGCGTCGCGGCGGCGGGAAGGGGAGGCGACGACGGGGCGTCGCGGCGGAGGGATGGGCCGGTGGCGCCGAAGTAGGCGCGGCGGCGGGATGCGCAGGCGGCGCCGAAGTAGGCGCGGCAGCGGGGATGCGCAGGCGACGCCGAAGTGGGCGCGGCGGCGGAGAAGCGTAGGCGGCGTCGAAGTGGGCGCGGCGGCGGGATGCGCAGGCGGCGTCGAAGTGGGCGCGGCGGCGGGATGCGCAGGCGGCGCCGAAGTGGGCGCGGCGGCGGGATGCGCAGGCGGCGCCGAAGTGGGCGCGGCGGCGGGGATGCGCAGGCGGCGCCGGAGGAGGCGCGGCGGCGGAAAGGGGGAGGCGGCGACGGGGGGTCGCGGCGACGGGAGGAGGGGGGGCAGCGGTGATGCGCTCGCGGCGGTGGGATCCGCAGGCTAGGAGGGCGCAATCTCGGCGGGGGGAGGGAACGGCGGCGACGGTGTAGGTCGCGGGGAGCGTATGCTAGGTTGAGCCACGCGTAGGAGGGGATATGTGGCTGTGGGGTGGGCCCATGTAAAAAAAAACTGGAGGGAGGGAGAGGTAAGGCTTAGGAACAAGTAGCTCTATACCATGTGAAGATTGTGAATTGAACAAGTTACTTCATTAGGGGAGAAACCTAGCATACATAGTTGGAAGAGAAGGTTGGAAGAGAAGGGTGAAGGTGACCAAAGGTTGGGTTGGCCTCACTTGGGGGAGTGAGGCCACCATAGGTCAAGTGGGTTGGGTTGCCCACACTTTGTAGAAGTGAGGCAACCCTAGGCCCACTTGGCTTGAGGTGACCTCACTTGTGGAAGTGAGGCACCCATAAGTCAAGTGGGTTGCATTTGGGGGCTCCACCACAATTGGGTGGATTGGCACCCCAAAGTGCAAGACTACACCCAAAGTTGGGTGTAGTCCCAACCCAACTGTACACCACAATTGGTGTACAGTCACATGTGTTGGCATGCTACACAATATATATTTTAACAAAAGCCTACAAGGACCCCAACCAACAGTTCCAGGGACGACAGCTACCGCCACCACCACCTTTTCTCATACAGGATGACCCAGAGTACGAAGTGGAGCGCGTTCTCACTCATCGGCGCCGCGGCGGCAAGACCCTCGAGTTCCTGATCCGCTGGAAGGGATACGACCCCACTGAGGACAGTTGGGTTGCAGAAGCTGATATGGGCAACGCACGCCGTGCTCTCAAGGACTATCTTGTCAAGCAGGGTGTTTCTCACGCCACCCAGCTTTGAGGGGGGGACATGTGAGAGTACGACGGCTTATGCTGGCTTTGCTAGCTTGCCTGGACTATATTATGCTATATCTAGCTTGGGTTTATTTTATCATGCATAGATATGCTTGATTTCCTAGGTTAGGTGCATTCCTATATTTTATTATAGTTATAGCACCGAACCAGGTTACGTGTACCGAACTCAAGCCTATTCGGTTTCCACCGAATTGCTTTCTACTGAGTTTGGGAAAGTTCTGTTCGGGACGCTTCGCGACCCTCAGAACATTCGCGTAACACCTGGGTAACTGGCCTTGTGTGGAGACTATATATAGCCTCGTGTTGTACCCAGGTGGATCAATCAATTACAATTCTCTTTTCTGAGCTCGATCCTAGATCCTCACAGCGGGTATGCGGTTTCCACCCTGGTGGTGACTAGCTAGGGGGTGCCTTAGTACACTTGAAGAAGGGATGGCCTGGCTCCTTGCAGTACCAACACACTAGAGATGAGCGACTTGCATCTCCATCTGTGCCATGCATTTTCTCCCCAACGGACCCCTCCTTCTTCCTGCTATTGCCCTTAGCAGTTGGAGAAGGTGAGCGGTCACCACGTGCTTGTCCAGCCATGCGAGGTGGACGCCAGTCACGGTTATCCTTCGTGATGAGGTCGTGATATCTCTGCTCTTGAATGATCATCCGCTGCAAGGTGAAGCTGTTCGTTACGTTATGTAGCATTGCCGAGTGCCTCATCTCCTCCCAATGCGCCGGTAGTCCGGTGAGCAGATTTAGGGTGATTGCGTCCTCATCCACTGTCTTCCCCGCGAGTGCTAACTTGTCCCGGATTGCCGTTGCGCGGTTGACGTACTCCTCCACCCTCTCTTGACTCCCCATTTTCAGGTTGTCCAACTGTTTCAAGAGAGCGACCTTCGCCACCGAATCCTTGGCCTGGTAAGTATCCATTAAGTACTCCCATGCTTCATAAGCCGGGCTGTAGGATTCCTGGAACATGTCCAGCTGCAGCTGAATCGTAGCGCTCACGCTGTGCAGTAGGACCCAAAAGGCGAGCGCCGCACACTGTGAGTAATCCGCATGTAGCATTTCAAGCCGCCCCATAGCGTCGTCAATGTCACCATCTCCCATGGTAACCGGGTACTGCAGGGTCACAAAGAAGTCCCTCAGATTCGTGACGCGAGCATTCATACGAAACCGTAGTGCCCACTCCCGAAAGTTCGAGCCATCAAACAGAGTAGTGGTGAACGCCTTGTCCACCGTCGCTCCCACCATTTTGCGTGACAGCCGTTCCTTGTCTTCTTCCGTGTATTCATGTGGAGTGGGGTCGAAAAGAGTAGGCACGGTTGACGGTCGAGGTAGCTGTACCGTGCGCCGCATATCTCCACCCTGTCCACCAAGTTGACGTTCCAGCACTTCTACTTAATCGCGTCGCATGATACCACTTGACTGCATTCCGTGTCCTATCCGTCCCATGCTGTCCACATAGTGTGCGCCGATCGGTGGACGTGGTGCACGCGGAGGTACGACGTTGCCTCCATGAAGGTGAGACCTGGGCATGGGAAGAACTCCAATGGGATGGGAGTTAGTCGCAAGTCGTCGTAGTGGGGGAGCACCAATAGTGTAGGAGGCGAATCCCACACCTTCCACGCCCACTTGACCATTTCCGTCACCCTGCTGCCCAATCTGTCCACTTCTCATTCCACTAGGCTCCATTGCATGCACTTTACTCCCATACTCATCCTTCCTCCCCCGTGCTTCCCTTTGCATGGACGATTGAGGTGCGGGATTGGAGCTCCCCTCTCCTTGGACGGATGCATCCCCCCCTTGGGATGACTCTCTTGGGGTATGCTCATTTCCCCTTCACCATCAATTCCTGCATGAACATTTGATGCACGATATTGGTTAGTACGCGGAGTGCTTGCATGGGATTGTCCACGGGTGGACGGGTTGCTGAACTCATGAGAGTGTGCTGTCTTTGGCTGGATCGTCAGTCCAAACTTGTCCCTTAACCAAGCTTGGAGTGTTGGTGGTGCCCTTGCAATCATGTTCTCCAGGTGCTCATGCTGAACCAAGATGACTTCTTCAAAAGCCGCATATCCAGGATCCACTTCTCCATCGAAATGCGCCATGACCTTGACCAAACCGTTCACCAAGTGTGCGCTGAACGCGCGGTTGTACTTAGCAGCAAACACCAG